CATTATGCATAGATGAATGGAATGTGGACAACATAAAAAGCTGTTTTATGTCTTTAGTGCATTACTATTGAGTGTGATATGTAAAACATACATCAGTTAGGGCTTAAGCACACTTGGGGAGGGTTATATTTTACAGTAACAGGTGATACGTGGCACCAACTCACACAGAACATACAATGTGAATTTGTCATATGACCTCATAAGTTGAGAAATTATTTTCTGAATGAACATCAGTGCAATAGGGAAATAATTCACTGTTATATAAATGCATAGCATGCCTCAGATTCTGCTATAATAGATAAAAAGTTATAAATATGAAAATATGTCACATTTTTGTTGCTAATCAAAGTGGTGGACAAGTGAGTGACAGTCGATTGTCATCAAATTACTATAGCTGTTAAGTGACTCACGTCGTTAAGTGAATCCAGCTTACCCCTTTGACTTTAGCAAATGGCAGTTATAGGACCCCGGGATCATAATTGCATACCGGTTGCCAAGTGGCTAAATTATGATCATGTGACTGGGGATGCTGCAAAGGTCATAAGTGTGAGGACCAGTTGTAAGTTGCTTTTCTCAGTAATTTGTAACTTTGGACGATCACTAAATGAGTGCTTTGTCTGTTTTGATTATTTCTAGTATCTGTCCTCTTGAAGTTATCCTTTGGACTGTACTATGCACACTTTATGGGACACGCTGGCTCAGTGGCTAAGACGCTGAGCTTGTCGATCAGAAAGGTTGGCAGTTTGGTGGTTTTAATCCCTAGCGCCGTGTAACTGAGTGAGCTCCCATTACTTGTCCCAGTTTCTGCCAACCTAGTAGTTTGAAAGCATGTAAAAATGCAAGTAGAAAAATTGGGACCCCTTTGGTGGGAAGGTAACAGTGTTCCGTGCGCCTTCGGCATTTAGTCATGCTGGCCAGATGACCATGGAAATGTCTTCGGACAGCGCTGGCTCTTCAGCTTTATAACGGATATGAGCACTGCCCTCTAGAGTCAGAAACGACTAGCATGTATGTGCGAGGGGAACCTTTACTTTTACCTATTGCACACTTTGCCCACAGAGTGAGTGATCGGCCACTCTGTTCCACTAGTGTTTCTGTCGTTCAAATGAAAGCAATGTATTTCGCAGTCATCTGGGTTTGCGAAACCTCGTATAATATGCTTTGGGGGCGCTTCGTGTACCAAAGTTGGTAGCTCCGCTGAAGGAAGGCAATTCCAGAATCATGAATGAATTTCTATTTTCAGTTCTTAGTCCTAACAAAACAATTTGCTCTTTCCTTGATTGTTAAGATCAAAGCCCAGGTCCAAGATGTGGCTACATGCCAAGGAGCTCCTTGGGTGTGATGGAATGTAGTAAGGAGGTGAGTCACCAGGAGGTGAGGATGCATTCCAGAAGGCTACTCAATTTGTGTCTTATGTCTGAGAGAAAGAGGGTGAAGACAGCCTCTCCTTATTAGTTCCTAGGGTGCATCATAGATGTAGGTAATAGAGTCCCCAATCTGCTAGGTTTTTTTTTCTATAGGTGAGAACCAATAAAGAACTCAGAAGAATCATCCTTGGCTTTGGCTTGACATTGGACATTTCATTGAAAATGGGGATAGAAATGTTTTAAACAGCAATAAACAAAATATTTAAATATGAGGCAGCAGTGGGCAGCAGCTGCCCCAAAAGCCAACAACAGTTCTACGCTGCATAAACAGAGGGATAGAATCGAGATCAGGTGAAGTGTTAATGCCACTTTGGAATGCTTTGGTAAGGCCAAACTTGGAATACTGCATCCAGTTTTGGTCACCACGATGTTAAAACAATGTTGAGACTCTAGAAAGAGTGCAGAGAAGAGCAACAAAGGTGACTAGGGGACTGGAGACTAAAACATATGAAGAACCTGCCACAAAGAAAAGGGAGTCAAGCTATTCTCCAAAGCACCTGAAGGCAGGACAAGAAGCAATAAGGATGGAAACCTATCAAGGACAGAAGCAATTTAGAACTAAGGAGAATATCATTTGTCTTAAGTGGTGCAGGCTTTCCTGCCTATGCAGGGGGTTAGATTAGAAGACCTGCAAGGTCCCTTCCAACTCTGTTACTATATTCTGTTCTGTTCCATTCTGTTCTGTTCTGTTCCGTTCCGTTCCATTCCATTCCATTCTATTCTAAAACAGTTAAAAGCTCTCTCAAAAACAACTGAAAATAATGTCAGTAACATAAGACTTATAATGTGTTGAACATAATCCTAAAGTTTTCATACTATCCTCCTAATGTCTAGAGGTTTGAGAGTGATAACCCTGAGCATCTGAAGAAACCCAGTTTGTCCCCTGTGTTCCAAATCCAGGTTTATCTTGATTACTTGCTGACTTTCTGGCTCATTTACAGGGAAAACAACACACAGCCATAAGTTTACTAGTCTCAGTGAAATCTGGTATTTTACCCTCTACTAAGACATTATCAGATACTGGCTATTTCCATCAAAAGAAATGCCTTTTCATGAAAATCTGCTCTGAGGGTGAATTTCAAAATTTACAGTGTGAATATTATCTTTTAATGAGGTGGTTGGAATGAGAGGAAAATACACCTTGTGTGTGAATTAATGAGTTTAAATGCTTTATGGCAGAGATCTCCAACCTTGGCAACTTTAAGACTTGTAGACTTCATCAAAAGGTGTCAACAGTGGTGGAATTCAAATTTTTTTTACTATCGGTTCTGTGGGTGTGGTTTGAAGGGTGTGGCAGGGGAAGGATACTGTAAAATCTCCAGTCAGAGGTGGTATTTTCCAGTTTTCTGAACTACTCAAAATTTCCACTACTGGTTCCCCAGAACCGGTCAGAACCTGCTGAATACCACCTCTTGGTGTCAAAATAAGATACGCAATTCCTGAAAGAATCCTGCAAATGGCTCAGTCATGTTAGCAGAACCAGTGGGCAGAAATGAATTAAACATCCTTGTATTCAAGGAGAGTTAATCTCCGTGAGTAGAAGATGTACAAGGTGCACTTGGGGCCTCTTTGGTTGAGGTCTGGATCCATTGCTCGAGCCATCAGCTTCCCATTCCCCCCACCAATGTATATATTTAATATATACATTTGTGGCAGTATGATTGCATGGCACGAAGAACCAATTGCAACCCACTCTAGGATGTGATCTCTATGGACCCCAAAATGTTCAATTAAATCATAAACGAGGAAGGAAACTTTATTATATACTGACCTGGCGTTTATGGAGATTCTCAGTCACGTCCAGATCATGGTTGTCCCAAAGGTGCTTTTTCAAAGAAAATTGAGCTTTCTTTTTCCTTGAAGACATTTCACTTCTCATCCAAGAGGCTTCTTCAGTTCTAATTCTTCAATTCTGAGTCAGAACTGAAGAAGCTTCTTGAATGAGAACGTTGAGATGTTGAGACTCTAGAAAAAGTGCAGAGAACAGCAACCAGGATGATTAGGGACTGGAGACTAAAACATACACTGAACGGTTGCAGGAACCGGGCATGGCTAGTCTAGGGAAGAGAAGGACCAGGGGAGACAGGATAGCAGTCTTCCCGTATTTGAGGGGCTGCCACAGAGAGGAGGGGGGTCAAGCTATTTTCCAAGGCACCCAAAGGCCAGACAAGGAATAATGGATGGAAATTGAACAAGGAGAAATTTAACCTGGAAATAAGGAGAAATTTTCTGACAGTGAGAACAATTAACCAGTGGAATAAAGGTTGCCTTCAGAAGTTGTGGGAGTGCCATCACTTGAGATTTTCAAGAAGAAACTGGACTGCCATTTGTCAGAAATGATGTAGGGTCTCTTGCTTGGGCGGTGGGTTAGACTAGACGATCTGTAAGGTCCCTTCCAACTCTGATTATCTGTAGAAGAGAATCAAAATGTCTTCAAGGAAAAACAAAGTCCATTGCCTTTGAAAAAGCACTTTTAGGACAAACTGGCATTTAGTAAGCTCAGTCAGAAACTATGGCCTCTGAATAAACTGGTTTTGCACATATATCTCACACCTTTCACGTTTCTTCCTTGTTGCCCATTGTGTTACATTCAATAGCCATACAAAAACACCTGCGTACACCCATTGTGTCACATTCATAACCATACACAAAAGCATACAAACTACACCCATATATGTTATGTATGCTCTTTTCTCGACTTGCTATTTATTCTTAGTTTTAATCATATTCTTTTGGGATCTTGATAGTTGATGTTTACTAATCCGAGCCCTAATTTATCTTAGAAAAGGAACTTGCTAATGCCTTTGGTTGGTGCTCCAAGCCAACCTCTTAAGTTTGACTTGGCCCTGGTAGATACTCTGTTCTTTGTGTTTTGGGCTGGATTATTTTGATAAAAAATATTTGTTTGAGATGGGTGATTATATTGAATGAATGATGAACACATGAATGAATACGTTATACCTCATTGATGTTTTTATTACTCCAAAAATAGCCACCCAATTGCATAATGATGCTAATCTTTTGGTTGATAGAAAGCAAATATTATTTTTTTTAATACACTAATCCTTGCTTCAGCAGCAGATAAATTCCTTGTAAGCAGGGTGGTCAAACTGGATTTCATTGAGGGCCACATCAGCGTTGTGTTTGACCTTGGGAGGCCAGGGTGGGCATGACCAGCTTGACATCACTAGTGTCAGGGTTACTTGGGGGTGACCCAAGCATTCTACCAGCGAAAATAGGCTCTCATTCTCCATTTTCGGCTGGGACAGCCTCCTGCAACCCATTGCCAGCAAAAACGGAGCTTGGGAGAGGCATCTACAAGAAAACTAGCAATCTGGTAGGTTCTTAAACAGGACAGATAAATATAGTTTTATTATGATGCCATGAACTATCCAGAGTCATGGCGCAGAAATTTAATAAGTAAACAAATAGAGAAAGAGTCTGTCCAAGACAATTTAAAATGTTTGTCAGGATAGGATTGCATTTGTACATTTAAATATGAGTGCAATTTTTTTATGTAACTGTGGGATAAAGCAGGGGTTCTGAGTCTGGAACAAATTTTTGTCCACTTAATTTTCAGGTTTTTGTTATATCTTGGGTGTGTGATGGTTAACTTCTTCAATTTTCCAAATAGTTTTTCTACAATTCCCTTTTATAGTCTTTTGTTTTTTTGCTTTTACTACTTTCAGGCTGTTTTATTTGCCAAATTGCATGAGTATTTTTTTTTTCTGTTAGCTTGCCTTGATGTAATCTTTTAAGCCATTTTTCTTCTTCTTCAGCTGTTTATCTGCAGTAAACCATCCGTTTTCAATCTTCCAACTGCTGGGGTAACGAAATGTGTGCGAGCTTAATACAAAATCATGTAGGACATTGCTGTTAATTAAGTATGCAAGCTCTAATGCTTGTAGCTGCATTCCAGCAGCAATTAGATTTTATAAGGTCAAATATATACTGTTAGAATTAAGTTGCATCTCCTTGGGGAGTCATCTGAGACAATGCCATCTCAGTTTTCGGCTAAAGCAAATCTTAGGGGCGCCTCCTGAGTCCATCCAACCTTGTTGAATGAGTAAAATTAATCCTTAAGGAGTCAATTGAGGCAGCATTTTGCACCTTGGGGCTCAGTGGTTAACGACCAACTCTGCCCACAGCCTGGAGTTCAATCCTGACAGGGCTTCAGGTTGTCTCAGCCTTCCATCCTTCCAAGGTCAGTAAAATGAGGACCCAGATAGTTGAGGGTAAAAATACTGTCTATAGAGATACTCAGTCATCCAGGTCATGTTGTCCCAAATGTGCTTTTCAGGAGACAACGGGACTTTATTGTTTTTCTCTGAAGACGATTCTTGGATGAGAAGCAAAACGTCTTCAAAGAAAGTCCAGTTGCCTCTTGAAAAAGCACCTTTAGGACTGACTCTTAAACTGCCCAGAGAGATGCTGTAAAACGCTAAAAGGTGGCATATAAGTTTAAATGCTATTGCCACTTTTCTGTTTCAGAAATACTTACTTGTAACTTAGGCAAAACTTTACCAGAATGTAAGCTAATCAGGGCATTCAAACAGAAGATGCTGTCTTGCATCTTATCTTAGCTACGGCACTTCTTTTTGGTTCAACTTTGTTAGTTTATTTGAAACGTTAATATACAAACTAAAAAAAATGCAAAAAAATGAACAAACCACAGCTAAGCAAGATCCCCCCCCCCCAAAAAAAGTGCATTAATAAGACAAAACAACATATACATGTTTATGAATTAGCCATTGCACTTTTATGCTCTGCCATGTAGAGTGCCCAAATCTATATACTGCTGAAAATTCATGTCTGCAACCTTTGCCTGGGCAAAACAGTGCATTATAGGGCAAAACATTTACAACCAAGGGACCTCAAATAGGCTAACCAACAGAATGCTGGGCCCCTTAGTCCCATCAGAAAGACATTTTGGAAAGTTCTTGCCGGCAATAAACGAGGGCCACCTGTGCTTCTTGTCTCTGACTCTTAGAGAAGCTGTCTTCTCCCCATATAATATAAACTCTGCTGTGGCTAATTTTATAGCATATTATTATTTCATGAATGTACAACTTGTTGTTAGGTCTTGGCTAGCAAAGATAACCAACTTGCAACTTAATTAGTCTGTACTAAAATAGTAAAGTAGATTCCTGAGCCCTACTGTGGCTGCCTGCAACAGAAAAAAAGACAATGGGGAAATGTTGCAAAACGAGATGGCTGCAGAGGCCGTCCTAGCAGGATGGCTGTCTTGAGATATGTGCTCCTCTACTTCCTGGAGACTAAAACCAGCAAGCAAGAAGGTACTGGAGCAGGCCTCTTCCGAAACAACTGGAGTACAAAGTGACTATTGAAAAACAAAGATGGATTGAGAAAATTAAATGTCATTAATGATTGCATGGGAGCTGCATATTTTGCACAAATGAGGTGGGGGGGGGAGAGAGAGGGAGACAGAGAGAAAGAGGAAGAGAGAAAGAGAGAGAGAAAGGGAGAGAAAGTGGAGAGAGGGAGAGAAGAGAGAGAGTTTTGAAAAATCTAACAAGGCCTGAACCAATTCAAGGCTTGGTTTTGGAAGCGTTTTCTGATTTTTTTGCATTTATTTATTTATTTTAATCTGTGTACAAGGCCTTGCTGGTAAATATTTAAGCCCTATGCTTTAATTCTCCTTCTTTTCACCCTTGCAGTAGATAGAAAGCATGGAAAAAGGGGCATCTTCCAAAATAAGCAACAAAGCCATTGTGTTCATGCATTTTTTTTCTTTTCCTGGGACCTGGAAGGTGGAATTAAGCATCCAAAGCAAAGAAAACCATATGGGTCCACAAGAGAGAGTTAAATGGGGCCCTACAACTAGTTGAAAGATATTGTAAAGTCCCTCCATCCTTCAGTCGGTTCCTCTGTGGAAAGAGGGTCATTTTAACCCTGGAGGGCCCAAGGTCTACAGCTAGGGATCAAGGATTAAAAACAATTTATAGCACTTTGCAGGCTCCAGCATTTTTGTGGTAAAAAAAATAAGCTGGGGGGGAGGAGTTCTTTTTAAAGTTTTGCATTTGGCAGTTCCTATGTTTTGTTCTTCTGTTGCCTAGAAGTTTGCCTATTCATCTATTTCACTTTTGCGTTTGAGTTCCTCTCTTCTCTTCCACTTCCGATCTGTTTAAGCTCATCACTTAGTTGAAATGAGTATGGTGGTCTCCTTCCCAGTTTCAGGGAGCAAGGTAGGTAATACACTTCATAATTAAAAAAAGGGGGTTCTGATATTATTAATTAATAACTAATAATTGTTATTAACCACTTAGTTATTATCGTTCTTAATTTGAACCCAAGTCTAAGAATACCCCACAAATTATCAGATGTGCTCAGGGTGTAGAACAAGATAATGTTTTAATTATAAGGCATCATGACCTCCTTCCTTCCTTCCTTCCTTCCTTGGTGTACAATGGTTAAAATACACTATTGCAGGCTAACTCTGCCGACTGCCAGGAGTTCAATCCTGACCGGTTCAAGGTTGACTCAGCCTTCCATCCTTCCGGGGTCTGTAAAATGAGGGCCCAGATTGTTTGGGGTAATAAGCTGACTCTGTAAACCACTTAGAGTGTGCTACAGCACTGTGAAGAGGTATATATATTTCATTAATTATGAAACTTTAAACAGACTATTACAATTACAATTTAGTAGATTTATGATGGGGATATATAAACAGAAGGGCTTGTAGAAAGCCCAGAGAGTTTTAACATAATTATTTGGGAATTTATTGATATTGTTTATTTTTTTGGCTGATAGTCATTCTTCAAAAGGAAAGAGAGGAAGGGTGAATCTATGAATCAAATGGCTGATTTCTACCGAAATTGAGTAATGGAGTGAAATTGCTGAGTGTTTTACAAGAAGAAGACTAAGCACAATCTGTACTGGGATTCCTGTGGGAAAACAAAGCAATTAGTGCATTTCCTGGGTATACTTTTAAAAGATACACAGTTTTCGGGTTGCTATGTATTCTTCTCCATCAAGTTATTTATATTTATGCTCAAACTTTTCTCATCTGTTTATGGAACTATTTTAATAGTTGTTTTTTTCTCCTTTTCTGCAACCTATTCGCATCACATGCAAAGCAAGTTATAGTTCGACTGCCTCTTATGCTGTTGCTATTTGCCATATTTGAAGCAGGGGATATAACTACACAGACAGACAGATATAGAAATATAGGATGAAGAGGTATGAGAGAAATGTGATAGAGCAACATCATACTGTACATTTTTGGCTGAACCTGTTTGCAGAGCTGGGCGTGAAGCAGGGATGCAAAACCTGTGATATTCAGGTGTGGCTGACTTCAGTTCTCTGCTCACAGACAGGTGTTGGGAATTGCAGACCAGAAACACAGGGGTGGCAGGGTTTTCCTATGCCAAGGATATCTTAGCACTGAAGGTCGAAAGTGTGATGAGACACAGATCGTTGTGTTTTGTTTGAGTTTGAGAAATCTTCTCAAAATCTCTACAAGGTTTGGCTTTATGATGGCTACTCTGAAAGGACAAATGGCTAGCTTTTAGCTTTCTCAGGGATTGATGGATTGATTTAAGAGCCATCAAGTCAGTGGCACCTCTTAGTATCCGTACATGGATTTGATGGGATGGACCAGGGGAAACAAGAGAGCAGTCTTCCAATATTTGAGGGGCTGCCACAGAGAGGAAGAGGTCAAGCTATTTTCCAAGGCACCTGAAGGGCAGACAAGGAATAATGGATGGAAACTGATGAAGGAGAGATTCAACCTAGAAATAAGGAGAAATTTCACGACAGTGAGAACAATCAACCCATGAAACAGAAGTTGCTTTCAGAAGTTGTGGGAGCTTCATCACTGAAGGCTTTCAAGAAGAGACTGGATTGCCATTTGTGAGAAATGATTTAGGGTCTCCTTCTTGGGCAGGAAGCTTGGACTAGATGATCTACAAGGTCCCTTCCAACTCTGTTAATCTGTAAGATTTTTTTCCCCATGATATTCTACCCCTAACCTGGTCCTTCTTGTCTTCCAATGGTTCCTCCATCATCTCTGTAACTCTGTTGATAATCATTTTCTTCTTCTTTTTCCTTCTACCTTTTCCATCCAAAAAGTCTTTTCCAGAGAGCTAGGTCTTTGCACAATGTGTCTGAAACAGGATATTTTGAGTTCATTTGTGCCTCAAGTTCAGTGATCTCATTCTCAGAGATAGCCTTCAGGAAACAATTACCATTTGCCCACAGTTATTATTATTGTTGTTTTAACTTGTTTCCTTGACTGTATGTTGTTGTGACCCCGATTGTTCTATTGGATGAGTGTCCTCAACTAGTTGGGTTAGATTAAAATGGAACTGAGTTATTTATGATTTAGCGTGTTGTGGGAATGAGCCCATTGTCCGCAGTGTTGTGTAAACACAGGATGTGAAATAAGCCTTAAAATGATTGATTTGGGAGAGCGTCACATGTTTACAAGCAGTCTTTGACTTACAATCACAATTAGCGCCAGAATTTCTGTCACAAGGTGGGCTGTTATGTGAGACACACCCATTTTACAACCATTTTTTTTGCCACGGTTGTTAAATGAATCACTATAATATTTAAGTGAATCGAGGGGCCATTAAAGGGGAATCAGATTTCCTTCTTGACTTGTCAAAAGCCAATTGGGAAGGTCACAAGTGGTGGATCCCATGACCCTGGGAAGATGCAACCGTCGTAAATACATACCAATGGCCAAGCCATCGAATTTGGATCATGTGACCGTTGGATGCAGCAACAGTTGTAAGTGCAAAAACTGGTCGTAATAAGTCAGTGTGTTTGTCAAGAAGGTGCCAAATAGTGAGGAAGAAGGGAGATGCTATTTCCTGCTACATAATCACACTTTCCAAGCTGCTGTTCTTCAGAGGGATTAAAATTGATCTTTTCTGCACTGGGCATCTAGAATAGAATGGAGAGAAGTTATGATTTGGTAGCAGGCTCTCTTTAAATAATAATAATAATAATAATAATAATAATAATAATAATAATAATAATAATAATAATA